TATTAATTAAAAATAATCTTACATTTGATAGTGTTAAATTTTTATTATTAAATTTATAATTTATAAGTTAATTAAACATTTATATTTTAATATTTTACTTTCCACTAATAGCATTTATAAATATGTTATATGTCTCATAAATTATAAATTTGATAATAAAAATTTAACATTATCAAATGTAAGATTATTTTTAATTAATATTTTATATATTTTATGTATATGTAATAATTAAGGTAATTATAAATATTTAGTATTAAAATTGATAATTTAATCAAAATATATATGTGTATAATATTAGTTAAAAATAATTTTACATTTAATAGTTTTAAATTTATATTACCAAATTTATATATATATGAAATTATATAGGTATAATCGACAAAAATGGCTGTATATTATAGTCACTATATTCGATAGTCACTATTAGCTGTCGATTATACCTATATAATTTATTTTTTATTATAATCGATAGAGTTTTTGTTGATGATATAAGTATAATCGATAGCTTTTTGGCTGTGGATTATATTTTTGTCGATTATATGTTGTTTTTTAGTAGTGAATCCTTCAATGAGATACTAGCTTCTACCTCCCTAACGTTAATGTATCTCTTAATATGGCTTAATTTAATGATTGATTTATTAATTATTAGTCAAATTTTATTTTAATCTAGAAAATTAATTTTTTAAATATTTTATAAACTTTGTAAAATATTTTAGAATAGTTTATTATACAAAACTTATATTAGTTTTAACAAAAAAAATCAAAAAAATTAAATTAGAAAAGTTAAATCAAAATTAAAATTAAATACTTCCAGTCAGTAAAGTAATCCATGATAGACTATACAAACTATTAAAACATGCCAATAATTGTAGTTTCTGCTACAAATGAGAATTATTAAAAGAAAAAAGGTTAAAACCTCATTTTGGTTCCTCAACTATTGTACGGATCCCCGATTTAGTCCCTCAACTCAAAAAATCCCTGATTTAATTCATATTATTTATCATTTTAACCCCAACTTGGTCCTCCCATTAAATTTTCAGTTACGTGTCCTGTTACTTGACGGAAAAAGATGATGTGTAAAAATAATTTGACACGTAAGATTGACAGATGACAACTGAGCTTTAACATGTAATTTTCAATTAAAAATTAAAATATTTTAACTAATTATAAAATTGAAATTATTCTTTTACCCTCTCCTTCAACCACACATCAATTTCTTTCCATTCTCCTTTCGTTACCCCTTCCTTCTCATCTCCAGCCTCTTTGGTTCATCTCCTTCCTCCAGTAGGTTTCATTTTCTCTCTCCCTTCCCCAACACCAGATCTGGATTTGATTGAACCCAATGGTTGTTCATCTTCTTACCCTAGAAGCCTTCATTTTCTCTCTCCCTTCCCCAACACCAGATCTGGGTTCGATTGAACCCAGTTGTTGTTCATCTTCTTCCCCCAACAGCCTTCATTTTCTCTCTCCCGTCCTCAACACTAGATCTGGGTTCGATTGAGCCTAACAATCCCTGCTGGGCTTAATCAAACCCAGGCGTTTGATGGGTTCAATCGAACCTAGCATGCTTGGGTTCAATCGAACCCAACAGGCGCCTGGGTTCTTTCGAATCTAGGGGCAAAAAATAAAGATGATTTTGTGTTTTTTTTTTTTCTTTTTTTTGTGGGTATTGTTGTTTAATGATGAAGAAGAATTGATTGATGATGATGAAGAATGATTTCGAACCCAGGGGCAAAAAATAAAAATGATTTTATGTTTCTTTTTCTTTTTTTCTTATGGGTATTGTTGTTTGATGAAGATGAAAATGATTGATGAAGAAGGCAAGGCAAGGAAGAGGAAGGAGAAAGGAAACATGATGAAAAAACATATATTTTTTTAAGTTTTTATTGCCATGTCATTAATTTTTTTTCCATGTTGTCTTGTTACGTGGACTTAGTTTGACAAATCATCATTTTCTGTTAAATAACGAGACATGTAGGCATATTTTTAATGGAAGGACCAAATTGGGGTTAAAATGGTAAACAGTAGGGACTAAATCAAGGATTTTTTGAGTTGAGGGATTAAATTGGGGGTCCATAAAATAGTTGAGGGACCAAAATAGGGTTTTAACCAAGAAAAAATTGAAGCAATACATGATAAAGGTTACAGTTTGTTAGATAGTAAAAAAAGACTTATCATCCTCATAGAAGTAGTTTTATCTCAAAATTAATTTCAAGGAATAAAAATTCATAAAATATATAGTTGAAGATCAATTTGATCAAACGAAGTGAAACTACTGTTAGAAAATTAACAAATTAGATTAAATTGAAATAAAAGTAAGGGAAATGCAACATCTACACAATGAACCCATACACCTCCTCACACACAACGGTTCAATAAAAAAAGCATGTAAATTGGAGATAAGGTTTATCTTATGCTTGTTTGGAAGAAATCTATTGGTTAGATCTGGCACAGTGACATAAAAGGAAATTCTCCTCCACTGAATCAAAGACTCTTCCTCGCCTTCATTCTAGTCGAATGCAAGTCTTGAAGGTCACCTTGAAAGGAGTTTGAAGGTCACCATGGTAGAAATTAGCCTGATTGAGTGAACCTAAGCCTCATTGACAACCAATCATGTCCACCTCCATCTAGCTCCCACCTAAGAAGTGCATCAGTGAGCCTTAAAGAGATTGCACTCAATTTGCCCACCCCTGTCAATTGAGGACACAGCCTATCTACCACAATCATAGTTTTTGGGAGTTTGTTGGAGTCCAATTGAGTGAGCCCAAGCCCCATCGACATCATCCTAGAATTTCAGAGACTGAGAATGATGACCAACCAGAGATTTCTAGTAGTTTATTAACATCTTTAAAATTTTCAATGATACTATGACAAGGGGTGGGGAAGTAGAGGAAAAATGCAAGAAAACTAGAGGACGAGGGGAAGAAAAAATAAGTGGCAAATTTGATGTAATACCCCAAAAGTTTCTAGAACAATTAAGTGTGAGCTAGGGACCTAATTGTAAGAAAATAATATTGTTGAGCCTAATCATAAAATTCTCAAACTTGAGGAACTTAAAAGAGAAAAAAATTTGGATAAGGATGGCTGATTTTTTTCTTCTTTTCTTTCTTTCTTTAGCCGCCCAATTCTGCTCTTCTTCTTTTTCTTCCCTGCAGCCGAACAAGGCCAAGCCACCGACCCACACCTCTTCTTGAAAAACCGGTAAGAAAAGCTTGATTTTTCCTTTCTTTTCTTGTTCAAAAACAAGATTTAGAGCTTAGAAACCTCCCCCCTGCAGGAAATTTTCGGATCTGCTCTGCTCTGCTCTGTTCCTTCCGTCTGTTGCTCTTCATTGTGTGGGTGTGATTTTTCTGGTTTCTGGTAAGGGGAAACAGCCATTAATTCCTCTTTTCTTCCTTGAATTGGCTTGGGTTTACTCTAATTTCTGTTGGTTCCTCCCAATTTTTGGTAGATCCCAAAAATTTCCCCTGCACTTCCGCTAGCCTTCCCCAAACTGCAATTCCGATTTTGCTTGCTAAATTCTGGTATGTGATAGCTCCATCTAAGTCCAAATTACCGTTAGTTGCTGAATTTAGTCCAGTTGATTGCCGCACTGTGTTGTCCGAATTTTTGCTGAAATGGGAGAGGAATTCCAATAGCAATTAGGACAATTTAAGCATTAATTCAAGTAGAATTTATGTGATTGAGTATTAATTGGCTACTGTGAGATTCTGGAGAAAAATCCCGTGAAATTAGCTATTGTTTTGCCAATTTCTGAAGTTGCAGTTACTGTTTACTGTGTAATTACTGTTTATAGGTACTGTTCACGCACTAATGGCCAACAATAAAAAGGTTTAAATGTTTAGTTTATATTGAGAATAAAATTAAAATGTCAATAAAATTGAAATGTTTGGTCATATGGTTATTAATTTTGGAATATTTTGGTTAGGTTATTGATTGTTTTGTTACCCTAGTACTTGGAGTGAGTTGTTTATGTTATGTGACTGAGGTAAGTAAATTATGGTAACGTCTTTTGATTTCAAAGTAAAAGTATATTTTAAATTGTTTTTGAGATGATTGTAAGATTTAAATATAATATGACATTAACTATTCGCTGGGATAATAACTCCTACTTGTATTCTAAACTAAAAAACTTAAACTCTCTTGCTAATATATCAAGTCATGTCCATATTTAGCAATAATTCAAAATTAGTAATATATGTAAAATCTCCACTTAAATTATCGACATGTGGTTGATTCTGACTGAATACTACTATTATAACAGTGATGGGTAGCGAACGTGATATTATTTGTATGATGGAAAGCACAAATCGTTTTCAGATAGCGACCGGCGTGTACGAGGGGATGCGTTTTTTGTTTTTTTCTTTTTTTTTTACAGGTAATAGAAAAGTCTTCTTCAGTGGTAGGATACTAGGAGTACTAGGTTTTTTATTTTTTCCTTTTTTTTTTTGGCTAACAGTGGGAGTACTAGTTTAGGTGGCTGAAGTTGTTATTACCGTAATTTTTATTAAGCTTATTAATTTAATTATTATTTTATTAAATAATAAATAATTATTATTTTATTAATTATAAATTATTCTTAATAATTAAATTAAATTAAAAATTTAACGATTTTTTATGATCTTAGCAATGACAACAA